AAAAAAAAAAAAAAAAAATTATACATTATATTGTATGCATACAATATATAAAATTTTATATTAGATAATGGATGTATTACATTCTAAATTGACTTATATGCAAATGTGTAATGTTTTGAGTCAACAAAATTAGAGAGAGAGAGAAAAAAACTTTCATGTTGTATGTACATTGTTTAAGAACATAGAACCTAGACAGAAATGAGATTATGACGAACTTGGATTGATCTTAAATTTATTCTAGAATAAATTTAGGATGAACTTTCTATAAACCGTACAAAAAAGAAGCTAAAAATAACTTGATGATAGCATATTTACGTGTTTATAGAATACTATGACTTTAATCATTAGCCAACCATAAGCTCTCCATTTAGTTCACGTCTATACTACAATGAGGCATTGTTAGAACTGCTTTAGAAAGATTTGCAGTAATGGCTTTAAAACAAGAATCTTCATCCTTAAATTTAGTCTCTTTTTTATGTTATTGCTAAAACAAGATGTAAACATAATATACAAGAGAGTTAAACCATGCATTTATTTTTCACTTTGAGCTCACTTTTGCATACAATATCGTAAGGAGAAACTAAAAAGATAATGAATAAAGTCCAATTAGCAACTAAACTCAGACAAACAGTATGGCGATCGAGATATCATTGTCCACAACAATGAGATCAATACAATGAAACGACACACCAAATCCCATGCTTAATGATCCAACGTAAAAACTCGAAACATAAAACCGAAAAGTTCCCGCTGTTTAAAACTTTTGAAGGTTAAAATGTATACTTCAAAAGTTGTAAGCCTTCAACATTTCACATTTATTCACTGTAAATCCTCCGATAACTTCATAAATCACCAAATATGAATATCAACTATGAACCACAACCAATCAATGTAAATCCTCTGATAACTTCATAAATCACCAAATATAAATATCAACTATGAACTATTAGAATTATTGAGTGTAAAACATGTGAGCTAGAACCCACTTTAATTTTCTTTTCCTCCTCACATGCATTTGTTCCAACGTGAAGATTCCTTTGCTAATGGTCAACTGTCAAATTGCACCATTATTGTCAAATTGCATCAATTAGTGTTACAACTAATGGTAATTTGATTAAATTATTCTGCTGAGACGCGTGAAGAGTTCTGCCCACTTGCTCAAAACCCATCTATAAATATGGGACTTCATCTTGCTGAGAGAAGGAACAAGGAAGAGAAAGAATACAAATGAAAAAAAAGAGAGAGAGAGATAAAAAATACATAGAGAAAGAATTTTTGTGAAAAAAAAAATAGAGAGAGGAGCAGATATTTTTTTCAGCCTTTCATGTTAGAAACGCGTGCATGCATTTCCTTTATTTTGCTTGCGATTTTCTTTAAAGACATTGTAGTAAACGACGTCCTTCTGGACTACGATAAACGATGCCATTTTGTTCTCTTCTTTTCATCGTGTTGCATGTGACTGCATATATACAATTAGAATATACATACTCATTTGATTTTCGAGCTTTGAGCTAAAAAAAATAGTAGCCCCAAAATATCTCCATGTTCAGTAGAAATTTAACATGGTATCTAAAGCATCAGTTGATCTTGGAGATTTTGTGTAATTGAATCGAGATACATGGTGATGAAACGAAAAGGAGCCTTCAGTGTCGCTGGATCAGGCGTTAAGGACGCAGGAGCTTCGCACGATCATGGTCCAGTGTTTCTACATGGTTCGGGTCATCCTGGTATGATGTTGGTTTCAACTCAGCTGAATGGAAACAACTTTCTCGCTTGGCGATTTTCTATGATAATTGCACTTGGTGTCCAAACAAAGCTTTGCGTCATCAATGGTGAGATTTCTGAACCCAATCTAAATTCTAGATGTGTAGAAAAAGATGGACTGTATGATTTTCTCGTGGATTCTTAATTCACTGTCCAAAGAAATGGTGGAACCCTATATATATGCTGAAAATTATAAAGATTTGTGGGATGATATTTGTCAACGGTATGAGGAAAATAATGGACCAATGAAGTACAATAATGGACCAATGAAATGAGATTTGTGGGATGATATTTGTCAACGGTATGGGAAAAACAATTGACCAATGAAGTACAAATTGCAAAGAAAGATCACTAGTTTAACATCGAGTACAATGATGGAGTATATCAATAGATTAAAAAAGGCTTGAGATGAATATGCTTATATTGTACCTATACAAATGTGGATGTGAGAAGGGAATTGTAGTGACACAAAATAATACAGACACTAAGTGACGAAGATGAGATTGTCCTGGCATTCTTGGATAAACATTTTATCAATTGGTTTATCTAGTCTAGTTATTTAATTTCATCATCAATATTATTATTATCCTTATTTGCATTATTTAGATGGTAGGTGAATACTTAATTATTTTATCTACTTGTTAGTCTAGATAGATAATTAGGGGTATGTGGAGTCTATTTATTCTTTTCTCTTCATCAAAACCAGACGACTTACATCGAATCATACAGAAAATCTTGAGTTTTATCACTTCTTGTTCTTTTTGGTACACGCTCGCTGCGTCAGTTGGTGCCTAGAGTCCAGTACGATCCAAGATGTCACCGAAGAAGATCGAGGTCGTAGACGAAAGGCGTGACGTGCGACATCGAGTCATTGAGTCAGCAAGTTGCGGAGATCACCGCGGGCTTTGGCCGACAAATTAGTTTAGTTATTAAATCAATTACCCTCCCCCCTCTCCCCTCGCCCCCTACCCCTCCGCTTTTATTGCTTTTATAATTTCAATTAATAAATAAAAATTTACAATTTTATTCACACTCCCCGTAGGATCGACCCTTTACTAGCCACTACTACTAATAGAAGTTAGTCGGGGTCAAATATAAATTCTAATTTGCCATATCGCGCCGCATAGTCAAATGAGCTTTCCATTCTACAACATGTTTCGAGTATATCAATTCAACATTTTTATTGAATGACAACAGTTCTTCTTTTTTTTTTTTAATTAAATGATCTTAAAAATTTTAAAAATAAAAATAAATACAACGATTGTCTTTAACTGATGCATTTTTGAATTTTTTAGAAAAGAGAAATCCAAATCTAAAAATGTTAAAAGAAAAAGTTCAAATAAAGATGTTACATATATAATAATAGTAATATATACAACATTGATTTTTTACGCTATGTTTGGTAGACAAATTAGCTACCTTATAGCTTATTTGGTTAGCTTATAAGCTCCCTGTATTCAAGTAAGCCTCATTTGGTATGACGAGCTTTTTAAAAAGCTCGAGCTTATTTAATAAGCTTCTTTATTTAGCTTTCAAATAAGCTAGTTGAATTTTTTATTCTATTTTTATTATATAAGCTAGTTTACCAGCTATAAGTCATAAGTTATAAACTAAAAAATTATTGATAAGCTATAAGCTGACTTATCAGTTAGTTTTACAAAATCTAGACTTAATTGTAACTTCGTAATTTTTTTGTAAATTATTTTATATTGTTGTGTGTCACCATAATATATTAGTTTAATATGTAATTCAGTGAGAAGTGAAAAATATCGATTTACCAGTAATTTTAAAAATAACCAACGAAAAAAATATAAATATTTTCTAGAGAAGACTAGTCGATATAAATATATAATGTTGTGAATAACTATATTTTTTCATAATAAATAATATTTTATTTATTTTTTTTATTTATATCATCGAATTTAAATTTTACACGTAATACTTAATAAAATTAGATTGGCCTAGCAATAATTAACCTACCCCTCCAAATTTTCTCTAGCACAGTGTTTGATTTTTGGATTGAACATTGGGATACAAAGGGAAATACTGCCGTATTTACGCGACTCGAATTAGGGCTCTTAATAAACCCCAAATCAGTGTAATATCTCCTCTGTAAGCAGACGAAGATCTCTGCCAACGGCCATGGAGAGTGCCTTTGCGAGCGCGTCGGCTATCAGCGACCAGCGGCAGAAGATAGAACACTACAAGCACATTCTCGCCACCGTCCTCTCCTCAAACGATGTCGTTCGAGCCAAGCAGTTCATCGACCACAGTTGCGTTTTTCTCACCCTACTTTCCCCCTTTTCTGCTTTAATGCAGTGCGCTTATTTGTATCAAAACTTTGCTAACTTTGGGCGGATTTTATGTGTGCCAGTGCTATCGGACGACGTGCCGCTTGTGGTGTCGAGACAGCTTCTGCACACGTTCGCTCAGGACCTGGGGAGGTTGGAGCCGGAGTTTCAGAAGGAAATTTCGCATTATACTCTCACTCAGATCCAACCTCGTGTGGTTTCATTCGAGGAACAGGTTAAGTTTCACTGATTTCTTGTTTTTCTTGATTCTGTTGTATAGTACTGCAATTGATGATGTTTGTTTTAAAATACTGATATGCCGTGTTTTGCTTTATATGTTTTTGGGCATTTTGTCGATCTTAGTTAAAATGTTGTTAATTGGTGTTATATCGTGCATTCGGTGTAGCTGTGCGTACTTCCTTACACATATGGGTGGTTTGATTTTGTTGACTTAACTTTAAAGAACTCATATAGGTGCTGCAAAATTTGTTAAATCTTATTTATTGATTGACTCAATGTCTTATTTTGTGAATGACTTAGTGTTACTAACTCAAATAGTTGTAGGAGGGTAAAATTGAAATCAATAGTTATATTTCCCGGTATTTTACTAGAGGACTAGGTTGGAAGTTGGAATATTATATGTTCTATGTTTTTTTATGTTTTATATTGCTGACGATGGATTTGTTTTAAGCATTACCTGGATAGTTCATATGGAGCAGTGTTGCTTGGAAGAGTTTAGAAGTTCTATTTTTTATTTTTTTCTTTTAAGAAATTAGCAGATGTTGGGCAAATTTGTGGGCTGGGATGAGAAAACATAATGTAGAACTTGTATTAGTTTTAGTAATGGAAGTGATCAATTCTGTTGGTAGGTCCATTACAATGTCAGGTATTTAATTTGTAATGACACTTGCTGTAACTTTAAATGTGGCCTTGTCATTATTCTAAGGTTTTTTTTGTTTGTACTGCTTCGAGGGATGTTTCTAAGGCAATATGAATTTGCTGGTATGTTCGAAAGACCTTTAAGTATGTATTGTCGGATGGTGCTGATTTGTGGACTTTTAGCTTGAAGAAAAAAGGGCATTGTATCTTCCTGTTACTCCTGTTCAGCATATGTGCATTCTGTATGGTGCTTTGATTGTTTGGTTGTAGTTCACATCCAAAGAATGTAATGAAGTATTATTTCTCTAAATGCATTTGCTTTGTGACTGTTGCAATGTTCATCAAATAGGTTGTCATCATGATTGCTGTATTTTTATATATGCTCTCACCGACCATCTCAGTTATTATCCCCAAATTTAGCACCGCGAGTGCCATTTAACATGCGTGAATACAGGTGCTGATAATTAGAGAAAAACTTGCTGAGTTATATGAATCTGAGCAAGAGTGGTCAAAAGCTGCACAGATGCTCAGCGGCATCGATCTTGATTCAGGAATGAGGTCTTGAAGAAAAATTTCGTTGGAGTAATATTAATGCTAATTAGTAGACAACATTTGGGCTCATTAGTTCTCCTATCTGTGCAGAGTGATTGATGATACCTTCAGGCTCTCAAAATGTGTACAGATTGCTCGTCTTTACCTCGAGGTAGGTGATGGCCTAATTCTATATCAACTATTTGATGTGAAGTACGATGTGGTGTAGGCATTTTTCATTAGTTGCTAACTTGCTATAGCATATATGGTGTAAGCAACTTGGAATTCTGAGCTTACTAGGGGTATCAATCCTGATTAATGAATTTGCATGAGATTTTTACTCCATTAGACTTGGTCAGAAGGAATTGAGATGTGACTGTGCTCAATATTTTTGTGTTTTTTTTTTTTTTGCAGGATGATGATGCGGTCAATGCAGAAGCTTTTATAAACAAAGCTTCATTTTTGGTGAGCAACAGTCAGCATGAAGTTTTAAACTTGCAATACAAGGTTGGTATATTTTAGTTTTCTGCTTTGATATGTCAACGTTCAGTTATGATATACCTGACTTTATTTACTTTTTTTTATTCATTTAACTTTTACTAGGTTTGCTATGCAAGGATACTTGATTTGAAGAGGAAATTCTTAGAAGCTGCTCTTCGGTATTATGATATTTCCCAAATTGAGAAGCGGAAGATCGGAGATGAGTAAGTATGAGGAATAACTTTGATTATCTATACTTCTCGAACATAAATTATCAGCCTGTTCTTCTCGTATTCAAGCCTTCCAAAATGCATCTCATTTATGCAGCTCTATTTTCCTTAATCGACGTCGGACAGTTTCAGCTTTAAATGATTAACGATTTGCTGAGTGTTAATCTGAGTGATGAATTGGAACATCATCATTGAACCTTAATTCATGTTCAATGTAGTGTAGATATTTCAAATTGTCAAACCTAGGCCATAGCAATCTCTTTGTGTATAATGTAACTTAGATGTCTTCATCGTGATGGTTAGATTGGTCTGAATTTGTGAGTCTCTCTATATCACTTTCAGTCCCTTTATGAATTTTTCTGTTACGCTGTGACAGAGAGATTGATGAAGAAGCTTTGGAGCAAGCTCTAGCTGCTGCTATTACCTGCACAATTTTGGCTGCTGCAGGACCCCGGCGTTCTCGTGTGCTTGCTACCCTGTACAAGGTTTCTGAGCTACTTATTCAATGCGTCTTAGCTTTAGATGATTGACACACACACACACATTTGAAAATAAAAGTTTTTCAGAGCTACTCTGGATGCTAGTTTCTAGAAGAAATATCATGTTATCTATCAGTCTTTTCCCAAATTTGGGTCTTCACTCTCTTGTATTTCTCTTGGTTCTTGTTTGTGCCACGAAGAGGTATATATTGTTGAGTTCATGATATTTTTCATTTGTTCTAGAAAGATTGTCGTTTATGCTTTGACTATTATTTTAGTTACTTCATTGGCTTTGTATGATGTCCTGCACAATTATCAGTTTTGAAAACATTACTATTTTATGAGGTCTTGAAGCTTGAGTTATATATATAAAGTTATCTATGAGTTATGCACCATAAAGTACAAAATTCTCATTTCTCAGATAAATTGGCAGTTTAGAAATGTGTTTCTCTGAGGCCTCATGTATTGTGGTAGCTAACTTTTATTTCATCGACTGAAACTCCATTGAAAGCTTATTAAATGTTATCTCCTGCCAAATACTTCGTATTCTATGAGCTATTTAATATGTTTCTGTTAAGAGCTATTCTATAGATATTTCTCACATGCAGTGACAGATGCACATTCCATCACTGACTGATGTTGGAGCTATCTAGGGCTTGGATTTGCAATATATTGAAATCTTAATATTTTCTGTTCCATTTTTTCACCAGGATGAACGATGCTCAAAGCTGAAGATTTACCCAATCCTGCAGAAGGTAATCTGTGAATTCTTGGTTGCCAAACATGCAACTGTTTTGGTTAAGAGTGTTGTCATTTTAGTCCTGACATTGGGATTTTCAGGTTTATTTGGAGAGAATTTTGAGAAAACCAGAAATTGATGCTTTCGCTGAAGAGTTGAAGCCACATCAGGTTATTTATCAAAACCGATAAAGAAGAATAAAATAAACTCTTTATCTGCAGTCGCTTTGTCCATTCTTTTTACATGTTATTTTGGATTGCTGGCAGAAAGCACTTTTGCCCGACAATTTTACTGTTCTTGATCGTGCTATGATCGAGCACAATCTACTGAGTGCTAGCAAACTCTACACAAATATTAGGTGGGTTTTAAATTCTTTGTCCAGTGAACTTTCTAATTTTCTCCGCATTATATTTGTCTAGTCTGTATTAATGAATTTTTCTATTATTTTTGTTTTCAGCTTTGAAGAGTTGGGCACATTGCTGGGAATCGCTCCGCAAAAGGTTATTTTCCATCAACCACATATACTGCTACTTCATCACAAATAAGAAACTAAAATGCTACAATTTTCAATATCTAGACGTGATATCTTTTTGCTTTCCATGTGGTATCCTGCCTTTCTTTGTTGCTGAGGATATTATTAGTTTCTGTAGCTCAATGGAGTGATTCAGTGAATAATGTATTTTTTTTATTTTTTATTTTTTTGCACTAAGACGACAAGTTTAGATTGTACTTAAATATGCACAACCGGTGAAACCGAATCCTATTGACTACCACAAAAGAATTTGTAATTTTAGAGATGGTTTTTTTTTTTTTTTTTTTTTTTTTTTTTTTTTTTTTTTCAGTTCATCACTTTCTATTCTTCAAACAATGCACGTCTTGAAAACTTATGTTTCTATCATACCTAGTAAATGTCGAATATAAGTGGTCTGTGGTCCAGCCATCATAATTGATGCTTTCCAGTACTAATGTTTCATAATAATGAATATGGAGTTTGGTAATAATGATATATGGTAAATCTTGGTTAAATTTCTCCATTTGTAGCTCTTTTTGTTCAAAGTATCTCTTTCTATGCCCAAGATACATTTAGTTATTTCTATTGCTTGCAATTCACGAGTTACCACAAAAGTTTCTACTTACTGCAGGCCGAGAAAATAGCTTCAAAAATGATATGTGAAGATAGGATGAGGGGATCTATTGATCAGGTAGAAGTTTCCTTTAAAAACTTGATGTTTGATTTTTGTTTTCCACGTTTTCTAGCGAGTTCCCATAATATTATTATTTGTGAGGTTAATATATATCTATGTTACGATGATTTGTTCCTGACTGTGTCCATTCTACGTTTTCTGTGTATGTTATGTGTATGTTATGTTCAAAAATATGCTCTTATTATGTGGTTACCAATCACACCTGAATTATTTTACTAGGTTGAAGCTGTTATACATTTTGAGGATGACACCGAGGAAATGCAGCAATGGGATCAACAGGTCTTGCATTCTATTTGTCTGAGCCGTTTTTCACAAATTGAAACATCGGTTCATAGAGATTTTGCTTTCCAAATCCCATAGAGTAGTCCAAATGAGAAACATAATATGATATGAGAAACACATAAATACGTCAAATCGATCTTTTTTTTTTTTGGCTCTTTTCTAGAACAAATATGATAAATTTGTTACCGTTGGTATAAACTGATTTACCTCGAGTCCCATGCACTGCTGACATTTGTTTCTTGTTTTGTGCAGATATTTGGGCTGTGTCAGGCTCTTAATGAAATTCTTGATAGCATGGCCAAGAAGGGCTTACCAATTCCTGTCTAGTGTTTCTTTTTTTAACAGATTCTGCTGTTTTTTGTAGTTCCATCATATCATATATTGTATGATGAATCAAATAGCACTCTTTTAAATGAACACATGTATCTATCTATCTTAATGATAATTTTTTTTAAAAAAAAAAAAAAATTATTCAGCAAATATTATAAACGAAGGTTAGTAGTGGAGGATTTTTAGATGATCATAATTTTAGTTTTACATTGCTCTTTTTACCATTTGCTCGTCTTTTTTTAATTGATTGATCATATTTATTGCTTTTTTCTTATCATAACAATAAATAAATAAATAAATAAATCACTACATTTTTTTGTTTTGTTTCAAGAGTTTTTACATCTACCTATGAACCGAAACTTCACATAGCAAAATTTATTATTGCTTTATATGGGTAAATTTGCTCCAAGACACTTGTTATAATACACATCAATTTATTTATACCCGTCTGTGGACACCTAGATTTCGAGACTCCGATGAGAATGGTAGAAACATTAAAATAGTATAAACATTAAAATTAAGAACACATATTAAGAGGGGAAATGGTAGACTTAGAAAAACTTGGAATACAATATTAATTTAAAAATTTTAAATGTAAATGAGGATATAATTTTTTATCGAGGACGATGGCGACATGTGATATATATAGCCGATCCTACTTAGTTAGATTATAACCGCTTGTTGTTTCTGGACACCTAGATTTGTGAGATTGGATATAGAATTTTTTTTTTAAAAAGTAAAAAAATAAAAATAAAAAATTGTCTCATCCAAAGAATGAAATAAAACGTTGAAAGATTTCTCTTTTAGAAAAAAAAAAAATAATTTGATAAATTTAGTCTTGTGAATGACCATAGAATACAAATATAATAATTAAAATTAATTTGATATAATAAAACATCGCTCGATAAGATCAACCGTCAGGAACAAAACATTGATCTATAATATTGATAGTCAGAAACATAAGAGATGTTGAAGAATAACTTTTATTGAAAATATATATGATAATCTATTTTTAATACAAGTTTTTATGACACTGGGATTGACGAGAAAAAAAAAAAAAAAAA